TAGCTAAAAACCCATGAGGAAGTGTAGTTCATCACTAATAATCAAAGAAATGTAAATTAAAACAAGGAGATAAACATACTGTTTTAAAAATAAAGCTTTAAAAAAATAATACATGTGCCCATGTTGCTACATTTTGGCCTTAAAATTTGTTTAACCTTTGATCCAGTAATTCTATTCCAGTGAATTTCTAAAGAAATAAAACATGGAAAAGTAGGTATATATAGATGTTTGTAGAACCATTATTTATAATGGGCACAGTATTGGAAGAATGGGCACAGTTTTATACATCTGTTAAAATGATCACTGATTCACATAGTCATATTCCATTTTTCACAAACAGGTTTTAAATGTTTTAATACTGTCTTGTAATTTCCAAATGTATACCATGATTGTATATTTTTTTAAATTAGAAAAAAACATTAATACCTAATACTTAAGAAGTATTTATTGTGTGTCAGGCCCTGTGCAATCATTGAATTTTCATAAACACCTCCTGTGGTGGTAGTTTCATTTTACATATGAGGAAACTTGGATGCTAGTAGGCTAATTAGTAGCTTTCCCAAGCCATGCAGCTAATAGTGTAGCTGAGATGTGAATCCAGGTAGTTTGGCTGTGTGCTTCTGCCTCAAATTGTGCATCATCACCTCTGCAGCAGTGTGGCCCGTCCTAGTTCTAATTTCCTCCAGATAAAAAGTTTCCTAATACTGGGTTGAGTCTAATGGAGACTGTGGGTTTCTCAAAGTACAGATTACCCGCTGTCAAACTCTGATCCAGTGACTTAGCTGTCTCCAGCATTACAAGTTAGGCAGCGACTTGGATTTCATTGTCTGTTCTCCTCATACTGACAGATGGTGTAGATGCCACCAGACTGCAAGAACACAAGTAGCACTTCTCTTTTCTGCTGCTTTTTTTCCTTGGCTTTCCCTCTCTTTACATTTTATTTTTTAATTAACTTTATTTTTATATAATTGATGTATAATAAACTGTACTCATTTAAAGTGTACAGTTGAATGAGTTTGACAAATGTTTCCATTCTGAAACTATTAATACCACAATCAGGATATAGAACATTTCAATTAACTATCAAACTCTAACCTAACAGTCACTGATCTGCTCTGTCACTGTAAATTTGCTGTCATTTTCTGGAATGTCATGAATGAAATCATGCAGTATATACCCTTTACTAATTGGCTTCTTCTATTTAGATAATAATTTTGAGATGCATTCATGTTATTGAATATAGCAATAGTTTTGTGGGGTTTTTTTTTTTTTTTACTGATGACTTGTCTTGCATTCTAAGAGTAGTGTTCCACTGATACAAAAATATAACATGTTCTTTCACCTGTGTTATTTCTAGTTTTTAGTTTTGTGAGTAAAGCTATTATAAATATGCTTTTCCTTTTCTTAAATAAGAGTGGAGTGTCTAACTTTATAAAGAACGTGTTTAACTTTATAAAAAACTGCCAAGCTGTTTTCAAAATTTTTCATTTTGCGTTCCCAGCAACAGAGTATGAGAGTTTTGCTTTCTCTCCATCCTTACCAACACTGGGTATTATCAGTCTTATTCATGTTGGCCCCTCTGATGGGTGTATTTGTGTCTTGTGGTTTTAATTTGCACTTTGTGACCATTGATGTTGAGCATCTTTGCGTATGCCTCTTGGCTATTCTTATGTATTCTGTGGTGAAATGCTTATCCAAATCTTTAGCCCACTGGTCTGCTTATTATTAAATTGTATGGATTCCTTATATATTTTGGATACAAGTCTTTTGTCAGATATACATAATATATTATGTGAATATTTTGTCCCAGTATACAGCTTGCCTTTTTGTTTTCGCAACAGTTTTTTTTCTTGTAGTAAAGGGCAGTTTTTTTTGTGTTTGTTTTTTTTTTTTTAATTAGGAGTGTGGGTATCCTATCTAAGAAATATCCTATCTAAGAAATCCTATCTAAGAAAATATCCTATCTAAGAAATCCTGTCTACTTAAATTTTCTTTAGGTCTATGATGTGCTCAGTTGCTCAGTGTCCAACTCTCTGCAAGCCGATGGACTGTAGCCCACCAGGCTCCTCTGTCCGTGGGATTTTTTTAGGCAAGAATGTTGGAGTGGGTTGCCATTTACTCCTCCAGGGGATCTTCTGAATCCAGGAATCAGACCCTTGTCTCCTACATTGGCAGGCAGATTGTTTACCACTGTGCCACCTGGGAAGCCCAAGCCTCTGATACATGAAATTAATTTTTGCATATTGCATTAGATGAGGTCTAATGTTCTTTTGCAGGAGGAAAAGGGGGCGACAGAGGATGAGATGGCTGGATGGTATCACCGACTCGATGGGCATGAGTTTGAGTAAACTCCGGGAGTTGGTGATAGACCGGGAGGCCTGGCGTGCTGCAATTCATGGGGTCACAAAGAGTCGGACACGACTGAGTGACTGAACTGAACTGAATGTTCTTTTTGAAAAATACATGAATCTCTCATTTAGCACTGTTTATTGAAGAGATTAAAAAAAAGCAAGAGAGTTCCAGAAAAACATCTACTTCTGATTTATTGACTACACCAAAGCCTTTGACTGTGGATCACAACAACTGTGGAAAATTCTTAAATCGATGGGTTTGCCAGACCACCTTATCTGCCTCCTGAGAAATCTTTATACAGGTCAAGGAGCAGCAGTTAGAACTGGACATGGAACAACAGACTGGTTACAATAGGGAAAGGAATATGTCAAGGCTGTGTACTGTCACCCTGCTTATTTAACTTCTGTGCAGAGTATATCATGAGAAATGCCAGGCTGGATGAAGCAGAAGCTGGAATCAAGATTGCCAGGAGAAATATCAATAGCCTCAGATACGCAGGTGACACCACCCTTATGGCAGAAAGCGAAGAACTGAAGAAACTGATGAAAATGAAAGAGAAGAGTGAAAAAGTTGGCTTAAAACCCAACATTCAGAAAACTAGGATCGTGGCATCTGGTCCCATCACTTCATGGCAAATAGATGGGGAAACAGTGACAGACTTTATTTTGGGGGGCTCCAAAATCACTGCAGATGGTGACTGCAGCCATGAAATTAAAAGATGCTTGCACCTTGGAAGAAAAGCCATGGCCAACATAGACAGCATATTAAAAAGCAGAGAGGTTACTTTGCCAACAGAAGTCCATCTAGTCAAAGCTATGGTCTACTACTTCCAGTAGTAATGTATGGATGTGAGTTGGACTATAAGAAAAAGCTGAGCACCGAAGAATTGATGTTTTTGAACTGTGGTGTTGGAGAAGAGTCTTTTTGAGAGTCCCTTGGACTGCAAGGAGATCAAACCAGTCCATCCTAAAGGAAATCAGTGCTGAATAATCATTGGAAGGACTGATGCAGAAGACACTTAAGTCATGTCCGACTCTTTTGCAACCCCATGGACAGTAGTCTGCAAGGCTCTACAGTGGCCATCTGATTCAAAGAACGGACTCATTGGAAAAGATCCTGACGTTGGGAAAGATTGAAGGCAGGAGGATAATGGGGATGACAGAGGATAAGACGGTTGGATGGCATCACCAACTCGGTGGACATGAGTTTGAGCAAGCTCTGGGAGTTGGTGATGGACAGAGAAGCCTGGCATGCTGCAGTCCATGGGTCGCAAAGAGTTGGACATGATTGAGCAACTGAACTGAAGTAAATTAAGAGATTTCCCTTTTCCTTTGAATTGCCATAGCACCTTTGTCCAAAATAATTGGCTGTGTCTGGATTTGTTTCTGGGTCCTCTCGTCTAATCCATTCGTTTATATGTCTTATCCAGTAATTGCATAGTTTTAATTGCTGTGGATTTATGATGTCTTAAAATCAGGTAGTTTAAGTCTTCCAACTTTATTCTTTTTCAAAATTGCTTTCACTATTATAAAATTTAAAAGGAAATGAGAACAATTCTACAATCAAATTGTTCAGAAGAGTAAGTTGGAATTTGGATTAGAATTTCATCGAATCTTTAGCTCAATATGGAAGGAACTGACTTCTTAACTTGGACTTCCCCGGTGGCTCAGTGGTAAAGAATCTGCCTGCCAATGCAGGAGAGGCAGGTTTGATCCCTGGGTCTGGAAGATCCTTTGGGGAAGAAAATGGCAACCTACTCCAGTATTCTTGCCTGGGAAATCTGATGGACAGAGGAGCCTCGCAGACTATAGTCCATGGGGTCGCAGAAGAGTTGGACATGACTTAGTGTCTAAATAACATCACCAACTTCTTAGTCATTCCTGCTGTTTATGGACATGGTATATAATATGTAATGTAATATATAAACTTATTTGGGTCATTTTTAATTCTTTTTGTGTAGCCATATTGCTTCTTATATATTTTTTGGTTTTTTTAAAACCCACTTGGTGATTTTCTTTTTTTTTTGATGGGCGACAACTTTATACTCCTAGCTATCATTAACTGTACAATTAGAGACATGGAATTGTAGAACAGCAGACATAAGAAAATACTCATTATTTTGCCCATTTTTCATTATGTGTACCCATCAGGTTCTTTGCATGAAAATGAATAGAATAAACTCAGAAATCTGTAGACATTTGGTATCAAGGTAGAAAAGTTTGAGTTGATTAAAATTTTGAGATTTGGTAATTGTGTGAAAATATTTTCTTTACATTTACTTTATATATCTAGTATAACTTATATACAGAATGAAGCGACCATATAATATAAACCTTAATTCCATAGAGTTTTGGTTTAAAATATATATAAGAGCTCTTATTATTTCCTTTCTGTACCATAGTATTATCTTTCTACTTTAAGTAACTACATTTATTGGATAGTTATGAATTAAGTGTGCTTTGGTATATTGTTTTTAAAAGTGTCATATTCTAGTGTTTTGCATGGCATTAGTATCTGGCAAAATACAAACATGCACAGAAGGAAATTCAACTTCTTTTTTTGAAATGGATTTATAGATTTACCAAGTGTAATGTATTTAAACTTTCCATTATCCCAGTAAAATAATGTTTTTTTCTTAATTGTAACAGACATCAGACACCCTGAAGAGCTTTCTCTATTGAAAAAACCCAGAGATCCAACAAAGAAAAAAAAGAAAAAGCTAGATGACCAATCTGAAGATGAGGCACTTGAACTAGAGGGGCCTCTTATCACTCCTGGATCAGGCGAGTCTTGGACTAAGCATGGGTTCAGTGTGAGAACCATGAGAACTGTATGCCTCTGTGTGTGTGTGTAATTGAAATATAGTTGATTTACAATATTGTGTTAATTTCAGGTATTTCAGCACAATGATTCATTTATACACACGTGTAGAAAAAAAAAAATATATATATATATTCTTTTTCAGGTTCTTTTCCCCTATAGGTTATTATAAAAATATTGAGTACAATTCCCTGTGCTGTGCAGTAGGTCTTCCTGTCTGTTTTTTATATCAATATAAATGGACTAAATAGTCTGGAGAGTGGTCAGGTTAAAGAACACTCTCCTTCTGCATGTTTTTCCTCAGGCATCACCAGAGTCTGTCACGTGTGATATCGTGTCAGGTGTTAGTAGTTGAATCAATAATAAGAAAATCTGGTTCTGTGCTCAGGAAAAGTCAAAAGGAGACAGTACCTTAACTTGTCTCAGTTCTTGGCATTGCAGAAACTGGAGGGGTTTTTTTAAGCATTTAGTTCCATTTTGGGACTGTTTTCTGGAAACCACCACTATTTAGTTAAGACGTTATTACTTTTATCAGGTTACTTAAAACTTCTATGCTTTGCATACGCTAGTCTCTTAGTGCCTCTCTTTTCTCTTGAAGAAGCTTTCTCATATTTCCTTCCATTACTTCCCCAACCTGAACCTTACTGAACCCCTACTTCCCCAACCTTATGACTTCCCCTGCTGTCAGAAGTCACCAGACTTTCTGTGTTTGATATTATATTATGTGTTCTCTCCTAATAACTGTAAGGTCCTGCATGAAGAGACTGTTTCTTAGCTTTCTGTTACTAGGACCTAACTCAGCATATAGCATACAGTAGGAACATGGGCAGTGTCTGTTGAGAAGTTAGATGACTAATCAATTAGATTACATCGTTCTTTGGTTTCTGAAAATTAGTTTTCCATGTTTCCATTGGCTGCACATTTATAAATCCATTTCTTAGGATAGCTCTCAGAAGCAAATAAACTAATTTTACTAATTCAGTTCATTCCTGTTTTTTAAAATTCTGGGATGATAATGATGGTAATGAAAGTAAACAGGGAATACAGACCTATGTATGCCCAGAACTGTTTCACACACTTTACCCATGGAAACTCATTTAATTCTCACTACAACCTGTCAAAGTGGATTATGTTATTATTCACATATAAAGATGAAAATATGGCACAGTAAGATTCAGTTCAGTCGCTCAATCATGTCCAACTCTTTGCTAGCAGTAAGGTTAGGAGCCATAAAAAAGGCTAAGCACCAAAGAATTGATGCTTCCAATTGTGGTGCTGGGGAAAACTCTTGAGAGTCCCTTGGACTACAAGGAGAGCAAACCAGTTGATCCTAGAGGAAATCAACCCTGAATGTTCATTAGAAGGACTAGTGCTGAACCTCCAATACTCTGGCCTCGTGATGTGAAGAGCCGACTCACTGGAAAAGACCCGGATTTTGGGAAAGACTGAGGGCAGGAGAAGAGGGAGGCCGAGGATGAGATGAATAGATAGCATCATCAACTCAGTGGACATGAATTTGAGCAAACTCTGGGAGATAGTGAAGGACAGGGAAACCTGGTGTGCTACAGTCTATGGGGTCGCAAAGAGTCAAGAGCGACTGAACAACAAAATTAGGAACATCTAAGGTCACATACCTTGTAACCTTTTGGTCACTACTCATGTACTGATTACATCTGGGAGCTACCAAGAAATAAGATAGTCCTTACTCTTAAGTAATTTATAGGCCAGTGGGAAACTATAGTTACTGTATTTAAGGAGGTAATATATAAACATTAAATGAATATTATAGAAATAATGTTATAAGAATTTATAAGACAAAACAATTCCAAGTAAGGTGTATTCAGTTTTCAGGTTGGGGAATTAAGTTTGTGAATTGGCTAGGATTCCAGTGGCTAGGATTTTGATTGGAAGAATAGGTGATCCACATAGAAAGAATGATATTAACAAAGAACATCCTGGCAAAAGAAAAGTACAAGATGTGTAAATAAACCATTTGAGCCAGTTCATAGGGGAGAGACCTCCAAGGAACTTCGGATCACACTGGAGGGTATTTAATGTCAGGCTGAGGAATATAGGCTAGTACATTGTAGAGTCACTGGTTTCTGAATATGGTACAAAATGAACAAATCATTACTTAGAAAGAATATCAATTTTAATTCCAGTAAAATGTGAAGGAGGGAATGAGGGGGAAGAGTAGTGGTAGAGCCTACAGATTAAGGAGGTCAAAGAGAGTAAAAGAATGTGTCTGTCATTAGAATATGATTAAAATCTTATTTAGACTGGGTGGTCTATATAGATGAAGCCATATGACAGTAGACAGAATCTCAGCTTTCAGTTCTTTGGTTTTTTTTTTTGTTTTGGGGTTTTTTTTTTTTTTTTTTTTAGTTTAAATGAAAACTCACTTAATTCTTAAGATGAAGAACCACATAGAAAGATATATTTATGGGATGATTTTAGAGTGGTTGAAATCAGGCAGGATTGGTCTTAGAACTGCAAGGAAGAGCTTTTATATAGTGCTTTAAGAAAAGACAATTAGAAGACAAAAGATAATGAATTAAGACAGGGAAAGCTACAAATATTTTAGAGTAAGTAACTGTGGGTTTCTTTTCTTTCTTGTTTTAAATTGAGGTGTTACATATATTAAAATGAACAGATTTTAAATTATAGATGAATATTTGCCGATGCATACAACTTGTCGCCACCCAGAACTAGGTATAGCATGTAACATGATGCCAAGACCCCAGAAGGCCTCTTGCATGCCTTTTCCTGTGCCTGTCTCACCACAGAATAGTGTTGGGCCGGTTCTTGAACCTCATGTGAATGGAATCAGACACTGTGTGTGCTCTCTTGTGTCTGTGAAGTGACTCTTTTCAGTTGAAGGAGTTTTTATTCTTAATAGGCTTTAGTTGTCTACATCCAAGCAGTTTAAAAAACATTTGAGGAGTTGATGTGAGATGCTAAGAAAGTGCATAAAGATAGTGATATGTAGAGGACTGATTGTCTATCGAGAAGAAGTCCGATACACACATGAGAAGTAATAAGAGATTAATTTTTAAAATAAATACTAAATATCAAGTTTGCCTGCTTTTATAATTTGTCAGTCGTATTAGTCAATGTTTGGACCAAATGCTGGCAGATTTGGTCAGTTACATTTTATGTTCATGTAAATAGCAACAGGTCTATACATCTCAGCTTATGACGTCTTCTGGGGGTCAGACACTGCTCAGTGCTACACAGAGGTTCCTGCACCACAGAGGGTGGTCAGGAATACGTGTAATTTTCATTCTACTGAGGCAGAAACAGGCTGAGTTTCCTTTAGTGCCTGTGTGCTTCATGAATTATGAGCATCTGTGTGAGCATGGTTAACAATTACGTATTTATGTGTTTGTGTATCTTCATTTCATCCTTATAGAACATCTGTGATTTTGGTGGTATTATCCGCACTTTACTTAGAAGGAAAGACCATTACAAGGGTTAAGTAGTTTGCCCAAGGTCACAAAGCTAATGAGGGACACAGCTAGGATTCAAATCCAGATTGGCCTGGGTCTAGCACTCATGTGTTGAACCATTATGTAACATCATCTCCAGTTTTTAATATTTAAAGGTGAATACTTTGTGAATTCTAATAGGAATATTTGATAAAATATTTGTGTGTAAATTTTACTTCAACAAAGCTTTTTTTATTTAATATTTGAAAAGGTAAAGGATCACGAGTGAATTAGTGATTCTCAGACTTTAGTCAGATTCTTACCCAGAAATATGATAAAATTCTGAGTGTTTGCATACCTTGTTTACAGGCTGTGCTCAGGTGACACTCTCTCTAGTGCTTTGCCACTTGCTAGCTGTAACTTGGTACATATCTAATCTCCAAGTACCTGTGAAGAGGGACCATTTGAAGTAGCCTGATCCCATGTCTGGGGGAAACAATTTTTCCATGTAAGAATTAACTTTACTGTTTAGTGCTGATTTACAGATTACTAAATCAAGATTTACTATGGAAGTAGAAAATTACTTCATTAGGAACTTTTCTAGGAAATCTTAAAGGCAGCTCAACAAAGGAAAAGTCTGGGTCCTAAGGTATTCGAGAAAGTCAGGAAAATCACCATGCAGGATGCCATTGTTCCTAACTAGAATTTGCCATTTTAAACATCAAAGCATTTTTTAAAAACTATTCTTTAATTATAAAAGTAATGAGTTTTTAATATCTATAGTAGGTGGCCCACACTGTAGTACTTGTTAAAGTCTTTGTTTCTCATTCTTACAGTTTTTAAGTTATGATTCTGTGGTGTTCAGCAAACTCATCTGTTTTGTGGCTGAGTACATATGCTACCTCATCTTACCCTTTATTAGTTTTCTGCTTCAACTATGGTTTAAATTGGGCAATCAGGAATACAGGCTGGTTGAGATTGTCCCTGAACTGGGACTTAAAAGGAATTTAAAATGCACACACCCTCTGACCTAGCAGTGCTGCTAGAATTGGGAAATAAGTACAAAAATGTTTATTGGAATGCACTGTCTGCAGTAGCAATGGCGACGTCAGTAATAAAACTCTAAAATGAATAAATGCACACCGGTCGGGAGTGGCATAAATAAGTTATGGTACCTGGGAGGCAGTGTGTTTAGCTGCAGTCGAGTCGGACTGCTGATTTACAGCTTGGCTCTGCAGCCTAGTAGTTCTTGACATTGGACACATATATGAACATCTCTCTGCCTCAGTTTGTTCCTCTCAGATGACGACAATAAGGCTGTTGAGAACACTTACATGAGCTATTACTGTAGGCTGCCTGACAGCAAATGGGAAACAAGTGAAAGTGTGGAATGTAGATTATACAAAGTATAGGTAAATAAGAAGGAAGGGAATCGATTGAATGGCTGATTCTATTAGGTGTTGTGTAACGTAGGGGAATATATTTTGTTTTAGAAACTTCATAAAGAAGTTTCGTTTCAAAAAAAAGTTTCATTTCCACACCTTATTTACATGTATGGTCTCTAGCAGAATTATCCTTTGCCTAATTGAGCTGGAGTATTGTCCTCCAGCCCTTTTATAAATAACTTTCACAAAATGCCCTTGTATTTTAAGGTTCTTTGCTTTACAACTAAATATTACAGTATTCTTCCTCAAAGGCTAAAAGGGAACATTGCAGCCTCCTTTGTTTCTTCACATTCTACATGTTCACATTCTACAAATTGTTTTAGTATTCATTGGTAGAACACATTTAGAGGTATCAAATCAGATAACCCTGTGGTTAGTAAAAGGTTTTTTTTTGTTTTTTTGTTTTTTTACTTTATGTTCTCTTCCTAGACTCTGTCTTGACAACTTTAAACATCTCTAGCCTTACCATCACTTTTTCATGGGTAGTTGTTTCTATCATTCTGTATTTGTGGGTGGTGTGTAGTTAGAGATGACAGGAAAGAAATTCCTAAGCATATTCCTAAATTAGGTAAGGAAAACAGCTATTTCATTAACAGCATCCATTTAACAATGTGACACCCATTTACACATTTTCTTTTTAAAAATTATTACTACAGGATAAAATATATTAACAGAGTTGGAACTTTGAAGGGGATGTGCTTTTGCTTAATATCATTCTGAATTTTTTTTAAAAGTCTTAATCAAATCTCAATTTTTGTAGTTTAGATGACAGAGGATAGATCATCAGTGGACTAATTCAACAATTTTTTTTTTAATGTAGTCTCTTTTTTTTTAAAAAAGTATTAAAAAAAATGTATGCCTAGCCCTTTAACACTGAGGAAGCTGAAGATTAAAAAGATAATATCTCTGTAACTTCAGGGAATTAAATATAAAATGCACCTTTGTTAGCCTCTTTCTAGGACAGAATTTATATATCCTTTTGCTTTAATATTTTATTTATAACTTGGAGCCAGTTCAACTATTCATTGAGAAAACAACAACATAAAATTATTATCTTAATTTATGTGAATTTATTCAGTTACATTGAATTGTCTTAAAACAGGGTATGGTGATTTCAGAGGGTGATAAATATACATGTTTGTCACTAAACACATGCCAAGCGCACAACCTCATTGTTTTGAGTTGAACAAAAGCTCATTTTAGTTTATAGCTTCTAAGGTTCTTTACTTATTCACGTAAAATATTTATTTCAGTTTATGATTCACAGGGAAATCTGTTTTCCTTTTCCCATTTTCTTTTCGTTTTCATTCTTTGTTTCTGTCTTCTATTGTTGCCTTTCCTTTACCTTCTGAACTCCTTTCTTTCCTTCTCTGTAGGCACCGATGTTCTTTACATTGGCCCTCTGAAAGGTGAGCCTTGGCACAGTGGAAACACAAAAGTGTTGGTCTGTCTGCTTCAGCAGTATCCTTAACTTACTCTAACTCTCTTGAACTGTTTTCCCTAGAATTTCTACCAACTTAATTATATTTTTGACCTTATTGTTACATGTTCTTAATGCTATTCAAGTAAAGTTAATTTCACATGTTTCTAAGACAGGTAAAATAATGTACTAAAGCTTTCCCTTCCAGAACGAAGTTTGTGTTTCACAATGTGTTTTACATCATTATAGCATGTATTACTGAAAAGTAAGATAACTATACTTCATACTTACTACCTATTTTTCACATTATTTATTAGGAAGTATATATTCAAGCCCAGGACTTTATAGTAAAACAATGACCCCTACTTACGATGCTCATGATGGAAGCCCCTTGTCACCAACTTCTGCTTGGTTTGGTGACAGTGCTTTGTCAGAAGGCAACCCTGGTATACTTGCTGTCAGTCAGCCGATAACATCACCAGAAATCTTGGCGAAGATGTTCAAACCTCAAGCCCTTCTTGACAAAGCAAAAATCAACCAAGGGTAAGTTTTTGTTTTATTTTTGTTGTTGTTTTTTTGCTATTACAAATTACAAGGTTTTTTTAATTGAAGCATAGTTGATTTACAATATCGCGTTTCAGTTGTACAGCGCAGCAGTTCAGTTTCATATATATGCGTGTATGTGTGTCTGTCTGTATGTGTAACTGAATACAGTTATACGATAGGTCCTTGTCAGTTGCCTTATTTTATAAATAGTAGTGTGTGTATGTTAATCCTAGCCTCCTAATTTATCCCTCCCAACCAAGGGTAAGTTTTAAAATATAGATACAATTTAAGAATTTCTTTGTCTACATAGAGGTAGAATTAATTCTGTCTTGCTGTGTTCCACTATGTTTGTTAATTTGTCCAGGTGGCTTGATTCCTCAAGATCTCTCATGGAACAAGATGTGAAGGAAAATGAGGCCTTGCTGCTCCGATTCAAGTATTACAGCTTTTTTGATTTGAATCCAAAGGTACCGAGGGTTTAGAGGGATCTCTTTTTGTTTCTCTTTGTTTCTTGGAAGTTGGTGGGGTAAGGAATTGCTTGGATATGGATAGCAAGTCTTGAATATAATATTAGAAACTCAAAACTTTGGACACGATTGACGGTATTTTAAAGAAGTCTATTTTAGTAGGTTGGAAGCATAACTAAACCCTTTTCTTTTTGTTAAGATGATTGAATTTTTGGTTGATTTGTATTTTTTAACTTTCTTTTATATTGAAATATAGTTGGTTAACAATGTTGTGGTAGTTTCAAGTATATAAGGAAGTAATTCGGTTATACATGTATCTATTCTTTTTCAAATTCTTTTCCCATTTAGGTTGTTAAGTAATATTGAGCAGAGTTCTTTGTGCTGTACAGTAGGTCCTTCTTGGTTATAACTTCTAAATACAGCAGTGTGTACATGTCAACCCTGAACTCCCTAACTATTCTCTCTGCCACTCTTCCCCGCTGGTAACCATAAGTGTGTTCTGTAAGGCTGTCTGTTTCTGTTTTGTAAGTTCTTTGTATCATTTCTTTTTAGAATTTGCTTATAAGGGATATCATACCATACTTTTCTTTCTCTGTCTGACTTACTTCACTCAGTATGACAATCTCAGTTTCCTCCATGTTGCTGCAGATAGCATTATTTCATTCTTTTTTTAAAAAAGACTTATGTATTTTATTTTAGCTTTGGCGGCTCTGGGTCTGTGTTGCTGTGCATGGGCTTTCTCTAGTTGTGACACGCAGAGGCCAGTCTCCAGTTGTGGCACACAGGCTTCTCTCGTTGCAGAGCACAGGCTCTAAAGCACATGAACACAGTAGTTGCGGTGCATAGGCTTAGTTGCTGTGCAGTATGTGGGATCTCCTGGACCAGGGATTGAACTGGTGTCCCCAGCATTACAAGGCATATTCTTAACCACTGGATCACCGGGGAAACCCTGTTTTGTTCTTTTTAATGACTTCGTAATATTCCACTGTATATATGTGCCACATCCTCTTTTTTCCTCTGTTGATGGATATTAGGTTGCTTCCATGTCTTGGCTATTGTAAGCAGTGCTGCAATGAATATAGGGTTGCATGTATCCTTTTGGACCATGTTTTTCTCTGGATGTATGCCCAGGAGTGGGATTGCAACATCATATGACAGCTCTATCTTTAGTTTTTTAAGGAACCTCCATACTGTGTTTCATGGTTTGTATTTACTACAGAGTTGGTAAAGTTAATTTATGTTTTTTAATATCGCTCTTCAACTCTACTTTAGGTAGAAGAAAAGTTTTCTGAAAGATTACCTATTCAATTACTTTCAAATTTCTAATTACATATCCCAGATGCTGCTTCAAAAAAATTCTTTTTAAGTCTACATTTCTCTCAGTTTCATAGCCAAACATTGTAATATGTTTTTGCTGTCAAGTGGTTGTCATCATCTCAGCTACTGAAATACTGTGCTTTTCTGATAAGATGTAAATTTGCTATGAAATTTGGAGTGTTTCCCCCAGAAACACATGACACAGAGATTTGGATCTTTTGCTTTCGTATCATCCTTGTGGGTGGGAGGCCTTCTCTTGTCTGCCTCTCATACTTTTCATGTCTAGATTGTAGCCTATTTTAGTGTATGTATTTATCATCTTAAATTATGTGCTTAAATAATACTTTGTACAACACTAAAATGTATATAGAATTACAGAAAATCATTTTAATTCTTTTTTAGGCTATATCATACCTAATTTTGGTAAAGCCAAAGGTTTCTGGGAACACAGTTACATTTGCATGGGGTAGGAAGGGGCTATGCATTTTGTTACTATTCTAAGCTATATAACTACTGGTTTTTATTAATATAACTGGATAATTCAGTAACACTTAAGTAAGTCTTTTCCACAAATGTGTGTGGACCCTTTATTTTGAATTTTTAAAATAATTACTGTTTCCAAGGACCTGCTACTTTGTCTGGGTATGCATTTCCACAGTAAGCAAGATGTTCCCTGAAATAATTAATTTACTCTGTGATTATGACATGTTAGTGTAAGTTGCAAAACAATACTGAAAAGCAGTCGGTTCTGCCTTACTTTAATGTCTTCAAGTTAAATTCCTTTTGTTAAGGGCTAGTATACCTAATGGTTATTACCCTGGAAAATAACATACAGAATCTACTTCTAATACTGAATATGTAAAAATATTTTGGCATATTTTAATGCCATTTTTAATGAAAAAATTAAAGATGGTATATATAGATATGTATGACCCTAAGGGTAGCTTTTTTCCTTATTGCTAATGTTAAAGGTAACATATTATAAAAGAATTGTGTCTCTTTTTGCTGCAGTATGATGCAATCAGAATCAATCAGCTTTATGAGCAGGCCAAATGGGCTATTCTCTTGGAAGAAATTGAATGCACCGAAGAAGAAATGATGATGTTTGCAGCCTTGCAGGTAGTGAAGAGTATTGGTAAATTGGACTTTAAAGGGGAATGGGTAGGGGATTATTTACATGGTAAAGTGGCATAGTAATTCCAGTAGTATTTTGATATAATGTTTTATTTTTTGCTATGTAGAAAGTGAATAGACACTTAGAAGGCAAAATATGTGAATTTAATTTTTTTGTCTTATGTATGAGTTTAGTGGTATACTTAAGTAATTACTTTTCTATATCCTTCGACCCCCAGATCTATATTAGCTTAAAACTATCCAGTTTTCCCCTGGAAATAAAATCCATATTAAAAATCAGATTTCTGAAATGAAGCCTTGCATAACTTCATAAATAACTGGGAATGGTAATATTTGTAAAATGGGCTACGGCAGAAATTAATACCTTTTAAGATGATAAAATTTTAATAGACTAGTAAAACTAAACATAAATAAGTCTTTAGAATGACAATTCCTTAATAAGCAAGTAACTAACATTAAGCTAGTATTTTTCCAAATGTGGATCTTGCATATTTCAGAATTATAGTAGGGCTTACTAAGAAATTAATGTCCACTGATCTCCCCTCTGGTAAAGTAATATTAGGATGGCACCCACAGTTCCGCATTCTTAGAGACACTGAGATCTGACTGACCACTAGATTAATCTTTCTAGATGAATCATTTCAGATATCTAAGTGTTCTCAGATTATGGTGGAATTCCATTTTCACATAAAGGTCTGATTAAGTTGATGTTCTTTGAGTACTATAAGCAAAAAGAACATTTAGTTTTGAATGTCTTTTATTTTAACGGTGATTTAATTCTTCATTAGAACACAAATAAAAATGCTCTCCATCTTCCAAATGCTTGTATGTACCTAGAAAAGTATCTCAGTTAAGACTCACAACATTGTTTTTTTGAGAGGAAGAACAGCTCATTTCTTCTTCGTTTACATTCTAAAAGAGGGAAATCAAAATGAACTCCAGACGGTAAATGAATGAAATAGTTTATTTATTTTCTAGAGACTTGCTTAATCAGATAAGACTCTTTTATGTTTCTGGATCATTCAGGCTACCTGAAGAATTTCATGAATTAAACTCTGGAACAGTTTTTGGAAAATATCTCACTTGGTTACAGCATTCTCTCTACATTTTTCCCACTTAGAGTAAGGGCTTTTAATTCTCTAGTGAAAATTTTGCAGATGACAAAGTAATAAGAAAACTTGTTAAATGTATATGGAGAAAACCACAGCTTTTCTTACATAGTATTTCTTATCTTTTTTATTATAAAAATAATGCATTTTTTTTAAAAGCCAACAGTTATATGCAGTGCCCAGCACATAGTAGGTGTTCAAAAAATAGTTATTTAATGAGTGTATACATAGTCGTATTGTCACAGAAATGGGACTATTCTGCGGCTTTCCCCAACTCCCACCCCATCCAGTAAACATTAGATATTCCATTTCAGTTTAGTAGAAAAACACCTCAGAATGCTGGATTTTAATTCATGGAGACTGAATGCCCCAAAGCATAGCTTTCCCTGGACCATTTTAGAATCTAGATGCAGTGAGAGAAATTTGGACTACAAATCCCCTGAGTTGTTAGAAGCCTTCCCAGAAACTGACCCAAAGCCTCTTGGAAGCCGTCCAGCCCAAGAAGGGGGAAACTCGGAAAATATGGCAAGGAGATGCCTAGTATTTTTTATTTTAGACATAGGCTGCACCCTGAACTATTCTTTTATTAGAACTTCTGGTTCCTTGTGTAAAATAAATCTACAATAGTAAAAAGAAACGAAGTACTTCAAAGTAAGAAGTTGTGGATTTTGAAAAGTTAGAAAAGTTAGTAACACTGTTTTTTAAGCATTTAGGTCCAATCATGTATTGTAACATTTAACAGATGCCCCACCCATGCACATTTGAAAGCAAAGCTGGATTTTATGACCAGTCCCATTCACAGCCAGGATTTCTCCAGTATAACTCATAAGGACCTTCTGCATCAGATTCATCTAAGACACTTAGCAGCCTGGAGCCCAGGCTAGACTCCAGATTTGCTGAGTCACAATCTCTGAGGGTGAACCTGAGCATCTCGTATGTTTAACCAGCTCTCCATATGCTTCTGATTATACTCTGATATTTGAGACCACTGCCTGAGAGCCTCAGCCTACCTCCCTCTCCATGGTTTGTGAATATGAAAGTTTTCTACTATTATAAGGATCTCATTTCAACACAACTGAAGATATAGCCAGAGAGTAGTAGTTGTTAGTCGCTAAGTTTTTGACCCCATGGACTGTAGCCTAACTGTAATCAATAGGCTATAGCCCAGCTGTAGTCCTCTGTCCATGGGATTTCTCAGGCAAGAATACAGGAGTGGGTTGCCATTTCCTTCTCCAGGGGATCTTCCCGACTCAGGAGTCGAACCTGTCTCCTGCATTGGCAGGCAGGTTCTTTACTACTGAGCCACGAGGGAAGCCATAGCTAGAGACTAGTCATTATTAATTCACTAAATCTTAAAATAGAGGAAGCTATTGGCCTCTATTATTTAATTAGATAATTGGCCTCAGCATTAGTTTACTAATTGTTCCCATGAACAGATTGTATTTGGTGAATGAATCCTTAAGAAATAAGGATTGCTACTTATTTAGTGCTCTGAAAGATAACTGATTAAGTGATTTAAAAGTTTTGCTTAAAACAGGAAAAGAGACTCAGATGTATAGAACAGACTTGTGGACTCTGGGAGAAGGCGAGGGTGGGATGTTTCAAGAGAACAGCATTGAAACATGTATATTATCTAGGGTGAAACAGATCACCAGCCCAGGTTGGATACATGAGACAAGTGCTCGGGCCTGGTGCACTGGGAAGACCCAGAGGGATCGGGTGGAGAGGGAGGTGGGAGGGGGGACTGGGATGAGGAATACATGTAAATCCATGGCTAATTCATTTCAGTGTATGACAAAAACTACTGTAATGATGTAAAGTAATTAGCCTCCAACTAATAAAAATAAATGGAAAAAAATTAAAAAATTAAAAAAAAAGTTTTGCTTAACTTTGTATAAAACCTCTTAAGTTTAGCATCAGAATCTAATCATTAAAATTTGTTCTAAACCATTTATCTAAGTGTGTTTAAATCATGACTAGTTCTGCACCCAAAGATTTTCTTATATACATGTAGGAGGACTTAATCACTACTCATTATGTATATACATATATGTATATGTGAGTATTCATGTGTGTCAGGGGTGGTGTATGTATTCACATATAAACATGTTTATTCTTAGGTGTAAATGACAATGTAAATTAGGTTTTCAGCATTGAATTGAAGTTGGGGGTGGGGCATTGAAACTCTAGTTTTCAACATAATAGCAATAACTAACTTCCCACTGCAGGGTAATAGTACCCAGCAGTAGTAAGTAGTAATAGTAGTAAGTAAGATAAGGTAACCAGTGTTAATGCATTTATTCAGAAGACCTTATGCATATTCTGTTCATTCATCCAGTACCTGTCACTTCTAGCTTGCGTGATAGACGGGGAATACTGCAGGGGGGGTGGGACACTTAAAAGTCACTGCTTGCGTAGAGTTCAGTGGAAGAGGTGTTAACTCTTAAATCCTAGGGATTCCTAAACTGAATTCATTTGTGTTTGTCAAAAAAATCCTCCTTTTTTGAATAAAGATTTATTAGCAGGTTTAGGACACTGATTTCAGGTGCCATGCCCATCATTTTTCTATCCTTCTAATTCTTGGGAGACTTTTAACCTTTCAGATTAGGTGACAAAAGGCATTCAATATAGATACAGATAATAATCTCACTTTAAAATTCATAGTTAGAAAAATAATTTAAATAAAATGTCACTTCTGGTTTTAGTATCATATCAATAAGCTGTCGATCATGACATCAGAGAATCATCTGAACAACAGCGACAAAGAAGTTGATGAAGTTGATGCTGCCCTTTCAGACCTGGAGATTACTTTGGAAGGGGGAAAAACATCAACAATTTTGGTAGGGTGAATCTTTTACCTATTAATTTAGTCTGATGCTTATACCTTTTTATGGAATTAGGTTTTCATGAAGTGTTCGAGACATAAAGAGAAATATTAAATGCTTTAGAGAATAGAGACATAGATTTTCCAGAAATTTTCAGGGAAGTTTTTTACATTAATACTGTTTAGTCTCTAGTGCTTCCAACACAGTAGAGAGATATCTTCTGCCAGTACAGTCTGTACATTCTCTTACAAGTAGTGGGAGAACATTTCTGCAGAGGAAAAGTTAACTTCAAGCTATGGTAAAATCTGTTTATTGATCTCCAAATCTGAAGTATTACAAAAAGAAGAGGAAATAGATCTCAGTAAAATTTTTAAATGCTTAGATATTAGCTATTACAGAAGAAACACTATTCTCAGGACTGTTACGATTCAGAAAATTTCTGTATGCAGCTATAAACAGTTTTAGCCATATTAGAATCAACACTGCATTCTTGTGGGTTGTCTAAATTGCTGTATTGATCAAATTTTTAATAGCTTTTTATGCCATTTGAAAATGCCTTTGTACTATATGACCATGTATATAGTACCTTTAAAATCTCTATAGTCTGTAATTTATGTAATTTTCATTGTTTATTGAACAAGCTAGTTCTTAATATCAGATGCTAAACAGAGTTTCAAAATTTTTTAAAGTGAGAAAAAAATGTTTTCATTCTTCTCCTAGGGTGACATCACTTCCATCCCTGAACTTGCTGACTATATTAAAGTTTTCAAGTAAGTACAAAAGAGGAGGAATTCCAAATATTAATAAATAAATGTCAGCTTTATAGTCACGTTCACATTCTTGAAATTTATGTGACTGGCAAATGCACCTCTAAAAGCATTTGCCAGTTATATGAACACTAAATTATAATGTGGAAAAATTTCACTTTTACAAAATTAAAATTCCTGTACTTATTAAGTTGTTTCATCTGATAAACATTTTACTTAAGGCAGGGAGGAGATTGTGTTACTTAGATGGATTGTATCATGCAAATTCTAAAACATATGGTTCATATAAAGCATCCTGTCTAGGTGAAAGCAGTACATAGTGAACTGCTATTTTCAATGGTTATTTCCTTGTTCAGAGCACCAGAATTTATTGGATTCTACTCATTTGTTCATGGGATATTCTACAACACGATTCCAGAGTATCTCATCTAGATTTTTAAATGGTTGGTCTAGTCATACTCCACAGAATCAAGAGAGCTAGGCATTAAGGCAGAAAGAGGAAAGGAGGTGATGTGGAATATAAGCTCTGGAATAAACCATTTATTGTAGCTGAACATAAAACAGCTCCACATAGTAACGTTTCTAAGCTACTGACCTGATTTCAGATGCTGCTCCCTACCTCCACTTTGTTTTCCTTTTACCCACCTTTTTCATCTACATACACTTTTCCTTATCCTCTCTCCCCCATGCTTCATGCTTGGCACTGGAGTGGCAAGTGAAAGTCACTGCAGTACTTCCCTAGAGATAATCACTTCGCGCACTTGAGACTTGCCAGGCAAACTGGCCTGTTCAGGGAGGCTCTGGAGGCAGCCCTGCAGACACCACGAACCTGCAGGTACTTACAGGACCCAGGAACCTTCCAGTTATTGACATTTCCTTCACTTTTACTTTCCTCTCCTTTCCATGTGACCTACTAGTGATGGGGACCCATGTGACCTACTAGTGATGGGGACAGCTACAACTGACAGAAATACTGGAATGTTATCCTTAGGGTCTTTCTCTGCCCACTCACTGTAATATCTCCTGAGCAGATTGAGAAGGAGGGGAAATTCCAGCAACAGTAACACTGAATAGAACACACTAGACGAAAGGGAACTGAACTTGGCATATATAAAACTTGTCCTCAGACTTTTAATATTGTGAGATTTTGCTGCTAAAACATAGCATTGATAAAGTTGTTTCAAAAGTGTTTTTTTCTCCCTTCTAATTCTGTTCGACACATAGGCCAAAAAAGCTGACTCTAAAAGGTTATAAGCAGTACTGGTGTACCTTTAAAGATACATCTATTTCTTGTTATAAGAGCAAAGAAGAATCCAGTGGAACACCAGCTCATCAGATGAACCTAAGAGGTAAGGAAAGCCTTGGAATGACCATATTGATGGTAGAATATCTATTAGCTAATATTCACTAAACTTCATTTTGCTGGGGGATAAAGCTTTTAGCAGTTCCTTTTGCTCCTTTAGGTACTTTTTTTAAGTTCAGTATTCAGTTTCCCGTGAATATTTTGTTCTAATCTCTGTGCAGGCCTCGCTTGAAGGGTATGCTTCTACTTTTATCCCAAATAAATCTGTGGCGTCCCTTTTCTGTTCTTCAGCATGAGGACATGTAGGTTTTCTCTTTCTGCGGGAGCTGCCCGCATATCTGTTTCAGATTCTGCCTCATTCTCATCTCTGCTGTAGCCCTCTCCCAGTTTTCGGGGCTGTCTCTATCAGCATCCTACTCCTTTTCCTCACCTTAACAGGTAACCAGCTGGTTCAGCTCAAGTCCCCAGTCTCTTGGCTTTCTGACTCACCAGTGGGTTAGCCACCGCAGGGTTTTACTGAGTTCTTCCCCTTTCCCAACACCTCTCACCTGCACAATTTTGTTGTCTTCGACACTGCTCTCATCCTGGCTCCCGGGGCAGCCCCAAGAGCCCTCTGAGGCTCCTTCCTAGCTGACGGCCTAAATCTTGCTGGTTTCCTCTTACCTCTATAGATCCACAGCTGTCTCAGAACAGGGGCTAGTATTTGAGCACACGTTGCTGCATCTGATCCCACGGTCCTGTGGCCTAGACTGAGTCCGGCCAAGGGCTCAGAGCTGCTGGTTTTGGTCGTCTTTTCCCCCATTCAGGTCTGTGGAGTTACAGCTTCATTTGGGCTTTAGTGACTTCCGTTTGTTCTTCACCTTTTTGAAAAACCTGTTGAATGCATTGGTGCCGGGGCCGGGGTGGGGGGGGGGGGGGGAGCATTTCCTCTCCTGGCTGGCCTGGTTCTTCTGCAGCTGGAGGACGTCCTGCTGCCCCTTGCTCTGATTTCTCTCTACACAGCCTTCGGCTGGGCTTGCAGATTGCCCATGAGCCTCTCACTTGCAGTGATGTTACTTAAAGCTGCCAGCTCACTTCTAGTTTAGACACCACTTCCTCTAGGAAGCCATACCCCTGAGAACTGCTCTCCTACATGCTCACACAGCACTTTCCACACCCTTGGTCCCTAGCATGTGTGCTGGAGGATGCAGGACACATTGGCTTCTCACTGTTCACACTCCTTTTACTGGCCTTTCCTTATAGCAGAGGCTGGAAGACTAAAGTACATTTTCCAGATTCATTTCCAGTGAGACTGAGATTCCAATCGGATGCATTCTTGCATTCCAGTCAGATGAATTCCCAACTGAGTTAAGGGGTTGGAGAGGCAATTAGGAAAGGATTTAAGTGTTTCCGGGCTCTGGAGTTACATCTGTAGATCTGTAATCTTTATTTTTTTTTGGTACATTTCAGCAAAATGTCCAAATCTCTACCCTGTCTCTATTCTGCCTACTAGTCATCTGTGAACTATTGCTTTATAATTACATGTGTGTGTGCTAAGTTGTGTCCAATTCTTTGCAACCTTATGGAGTGTAGCCCGCCAGGTTCCTCTGTCCATGGGCTTCTCCAGGCACAAATACTGGAGTGGGTTGCCCTGCCCTCCTCCAGGGGATCTTCCCTACCCAGGGATCAAACCCACATCTCTTACATCTCCTATATTGGCAGGTGGGTTCTTTACCACTAGCGCCACCTATGAAGCCCATTTATAGTTATATACATTTTATTAAGGGGCTTCCTTCATAGCTCAGTTGGTAAATCATCCACCTGCAATGCAGGAGACCCAGGTTCGGTTCCTGGGTTGGGAAGATACCCTGGAGAAGGAAATGGCAACCTACTCCAATATTCTTACCTGGGGAATCCCATGGACAGAGGAGCCTGCCAGGCTACAGTCCACGGGATCTCAAGAGTCGGACATAACTTAGCATCTAAACCACCACCACAACCACCGCATTTTAATAAATAGAAAAACCTCTGTGCTGGGGTAGAAGATTGCTATGCCCACATGTTGAAATTCTGTAATTTTCCTAAAACTTCTAGTTAGACTCACTGCCTTTCTCCCTAGGTCAGGAGTTTTTAACTTTTGGATCTTTACCATTATTTGTTACTCTCAGAATACATTGCAGCTGTCCTCTTGCTTCCCTTCCACGCTGCCCAGGATCCACTCCAATTATCCACTCTCGATTTAGAGGTTTAATCTGTCTTCTGGACCCCATCTTCTCTGTCCCTATTACGTCCTTAGTCTTCTCCTTACATGACTGAGAGGTTAAGTCCTGGATGGAGAACAGTTTACAGGGTGTCCTAATCCCACTTCTCCCACGTCTTTCCAAAGGAGTGCTTTTCTAGCATATCACACTGGTGAGGGTAACACTAGCCTAAGAATCAAATGGCCTAGGTTCTGCTCTGCCACAAAACAAGCCCTGTGATTTTGGAAAAATAACTCTCAGGATCTTAGTGTCTTCCTCTGAGTAATGAGAGTGTTGGAGTAGATGCTCTCTAAGGCCCCTAAGTTATCTCAAACGCACAGTTCTAAAAAATGCAGGTCAGCAGATGCTGACTGGTCACCCATGCCACACACTGTGCCAGGTACCAGAGTGATGAGCAAGAACAGATTACAGTCACATCCCTAAGATGTCAGAGAATGTCAGGAAATAAACAGCTACAATCTGGGCAATAGCGGTACTTTAAAAAGGAAGCAGTAGGTCAAAGGAACAAAGCGGTAAGGATGCTCTATCAACCTTCAGTGATTTTGGAGAGAATTAGGGGAAGCTTAATAGGGGAAATAACATTGGAGTTAAGATCCCAAAAAGAAAATTGCTATCCGTGAAAGGAAGGAGGAGAGTTGGTAAAAGAGACTGATGTGCAGAATTGTGTGGGGAAAATCATCAGCAGTCATGTGGTGGGTGGATGAGGGGGCATGCTTCTAGAGTATGGAATTGAAGCTGAGAGGATGAATCCTTCCCTAATAGCTGCTGAATCCATTCCTTTTAACAAGAAAGGTGACAACAGGAGTTAAAGTTGTTAAGGAGATTGTTTTCTAAACTGGCAGCAATGAAGTGACAGTGAAGGATTATGAATACGATAAGATTCATCATCCTTACATTGGCTGCAATGTAGAAGAGTAGTTATAGAAAAGTGATACTGATCCAGGTTACACTTATCGGCATGGGTGAGAAAAGGGCACAACTTTGTTAGATTCTCAGGACGTTCAGTCAACAGACTGGATGATTGACCTGGGAGAGGCTGGGGGAGTGACTTGATCCTGGCTTGTACAGTTGGGTGAATAGGGTAATTCTGAGATTGAGAATATATAAGAGCAGAGTTTGGGGAGGAAGATGAGCTAAATTTAATTGGGTTATTTTAAATTTGAGGTGCGTTTGCGGTTGTGTATCTGTTTGGAGCATGGGTAAGATCCATACTGCAGGTACTGATGGGGTAGCAGTGAGTATTAATAGTAGATGCAGCCTTTGTAGTAGTTGTCTATAATATGAAAAGGCTGAGAGCAGAACCCTGCAGAACACCCATGTTTAAGGGACAGGGCAGATTAGAGGAGGTGGAACTTGCAAGGGAAATAACAAAAATATCTAGGAAGACCATGGAAATGAGGTATGATAGAAGTTAAAGGACAGAGTAGTTAATAGTATCAAATACTACAGAAAAGTTAGATTAAGCTTCCATAAGATTTAGCCACATGGTGGTGGTTCATGGCCTCTATTAAGAACAGATTCATCAGATTTCAGTGGGCTTTTATGCAGGGGAGCCAAAGTACAGTCACTGAAATGGGAAACAAAGATAGCTTTTTGATGAACCTCATCTGTGACAGGCAAGGAGGAAAAAGTGCAGTAATAGAAGAGAGAGGCCTAAAATGGAGGGGTGTTTTATGGTTTAAGATGGGAGACTCAAGGAAGTTAAATACTGATGGAACTGTCATGTAGATAGGAAGGGAAGTGGGAGGACAGGATCTCTGTGATGGAACAAGGTACCTGACAGATGGTAGAAAACTCTGCCTGCTCGGATAGGAGAGATTCCTTTTCCTCTGTGTGGACGTGGGGGTGGCCAGGTTTATCTGCTTTGGTGGCAGGAAGTTGGGGGACCTCATTTCTGATGGCTTTCATGTTCTTGGAAAAATAACAGGTGAGGTTGTTCTCTAAGAGTAGCATAGGCGGCCTGAGAAGATGTGAAATAAACATTGTTGAGGATGTTAACGCAGAATGGTTGCGAGTGTTAAGGGGCAGATTGATGTTAGGAATCTACGTGTTTCTAGTGCAACTTACCTGCTCAGTTTTGTGATTTTCCCCGCCGCCGCCACCCACCCCCCGCCATCTTAAGAGTGCTCAGCAGCCAGAGCATAGGCAAGTAAGAGGTAGGTGATTGGGTTGAGCCAAGATTAAGGTTTTGCTAAGTGTGTATGATGGAAAGCCAGTGAGTCTAGTGAGTTAGAGGTGACAGCTAGTGAAGCAGGGTCCAGGCCGGACTGCAGAGAAAAGGTGGAAACATGGAACCAATGGGGAGAGGGTTGTGGGGTCACAGGATTGGGTCTCCCAAAGATTTTAAGGGGATTTAGGATTGAAGATTGTGCTCAGAATGGGCTGTTTGCAGTTAACATTTCAGAGGGTTAGTAATTGGGTTGCAGTAAGGTCCAGCATGTTACCGTGGAAGTAAGTAGCCAAGGAGGTGTGGAGTGAATATTGTCTGAAATGTGGCTTTTGAGTGCTTCTGCCTGCACTGGTGCCTGAGTTACCATTCTCTTTGTCTCTCCCCTTGTAGTTTTCTTGATATTTTACTTTAAAAAGAGGTCTAATTATTGTGGAGTTGCATACTTGAAATATATTTGAATGATTAATGAAATTTGTGGAAAAGATTGTATGTCTTCAAACATCTCTTTGTTTTAACTTCGCAGGTTAAACACATTGCCACACAACTTTCTGAGTGTTTGTAATGATTGTATAGGAGTTACATGTGGTAGCTATGTGAAGTAAATATTCTAAAAAGAAAGCAAAGAGTGAGGGAAAGTTCATCAAATTCAAGATTGAAGTTAATTCTGGAGAAGAGAGGATCTCTCCTTTATCTAAAATGTTTCTTTATTTGCTTCTTAAAACATTTATTTGATGAGGTAAAAAATAATAGTTTAAACATTTGTTCAGATACATAGAAGCTTACTAGCTTGTTGCTTGTAGTTTCTTTGTCAGGAGAAGTTGCTCCAGCTCAGGGACAAAGGCAGCAGCAGGCTCTGCTAACAGTTTACATTCTTCCCCACAGAGTCTACACTATGGTCTTAACACGCATTGAGGGCAACATGAGCTAAGTACTAACAATTGGAATACTCATCTTACTGATCCTTACAGCATCACTGTGAGAGCTTAAGGTCAGGGAATTTGGGCATAAGTAAATATGATATACTTATTAAGTGGTCAAGAAAGGTGTGGAACCCAAATCTGTCTGCTTACAGAGCTCTTCTTCACTATTTTATACTGGTTACTAGTTTAGGCTGACCATTGCCCCATTATCTATCTGGGTATACATTCAGTAAATCTGTTTTCTCTCCTATAAAGCCATAAACTAATGGTTAACAGAGTTGATTACAGGGATTTTTTTACAGTCTGTAAATGTACGTATTCCTGAAAACTTGCCAGTAAAGTGAAATTCTGCATGCCCTTATTTTCATACTGACTTCCCATGTATGTAAGTTCATGTTACCTTCTGTGTCAGATGGACTCCCAGAATTGTGTGCAAATCAGGAGAGCCTGTGCCTTAGTCTTCCTCGCACACGGCCATAGAGGGCAGGGCAGTGGGGCCCTGAGGAGGCCCTCGTATCGGACTCCAGCTCACACTGGCTGGTTCCCCACACGTGTGCCTTTCTTAAAATGCATCATAAAGTCATTTATTCTGACCAGAACACACTTTAGAATTTTATTATGGAAAGATATTTTAAAATCCCTGTACATGTAGAAACTTAGCAAAATAAAAAAAAAAAAAAACCCTAATAACTTAAGATTCAAAGAACTGAATGATATTAAAATAGTAATGTGTGAAACTTGTGGGAATGGAGTGCAAGTTTCCTATGTATAATATCCTTTTAATAGAACTCTTTCCTTCTCTTCTCAATCAAGTTTTGTGAATTGTGAGGGCCACACACTGTGCAGTTATATCTCTTGTTTATTAGGTCTGAGTTGAGTCTTTACTCCACCCCCAACAAAATTACTAAACATAAAGAATTCTCTGATTTGTAGATTCCATTAACATGTTAAGATGCCATAAAATGGGAACTGCCTGTATTGGCTTGGGATTTCTTAAGTGTAAATTTAACCATTTTAATAATTTTTTAACTATAGGGTGTGAAGTTACCCCAGATGTGAATATTTCAGGCCAAAAATTTAACATTAAACTCCTCATTCCGGTTGCAGAGGGCATGAATGAAATCTGGCTTCGTTGTGACAATGTAAGTTTTTTGATTAAAAATAAACCTTAATTTGGGGGATGTCCCTGTTGGGTCCAGTGGTTAAGACTCTGCGCTCCCAGTGCAGGGGTCATGGGTTCAATCACTGGTCAGGGAACTAAGATTTCACATGCACAGTGCAGCCAAAAAAAAAAATAAACCTCGGTTTTCTTTGCTTCCTTAGTGAGTTGACCATTCATTTATACTCAAAGGATCTATCATATGATAGATTTCAAACCTCAGTATTTCTTTTCACAGGAAAAACAGTATGCACACTGGATGGCAGCCTGCAGATTGGCCTCCAAAGGCAAGACCATGGCAGATAGTTCTTACAACTTAGAAGTTCAAAATATTCTTTCCTTTCTGAAGATGCAGCATTTAAATCCAGATCCTCAGTTAATACCAGAACAGATCACAACTGATATAAATCCTGAATGTCTGGTGTCCCCTCGCTATCTAAAAAAGTACAAGAACAAGCAGGTAAACGGTTTTCTACATATACTTTAGTTTCCCCTCTTAAACACAACTTTTTTAGTCTTAATTGGTAGTCTTGATTTTTTATCAGGTGGTTAAAATATAAGGAAAAAATAGCTTGCAGTCAGTTTAAATTGGTCATTTAAGAAAAGTCTTATTATTTTAATAGGATGGATAATGAGGTAAAATAGTTGGGAGCATATTTATTCTAAACCACCTGAGGAAATTACTCTGCTGACTGGATATTCTTTTCAGGGAATTGAATATGGTCTTACTTACTGCTTTGTGTTCCACAGTTCATGCCATTTTATTTCTTAAATAAAGTAAATGTGATCCAGAGCACAGCCAGCATTTCCCAGCCAAATCTCTGATGACTCTTCTTGCTGTTGAAATGGACCTTTCCAGCTTTGGAAATAAACTTTACGTGGTTTATAGTCCACGTTTAACATTGTCTTTTCTTAACATTAACGGTCAAAGCCTAAGCTAGATTTGTATAATATGACAACGTTTGGTAAATTTTCATTGAAATTCACTGCTTTTGTTCCCTCTGTTTAGAATTCCTTTTCTGGAAATGACTACCATAAAAGGATTGCTATTTAGAAAAATGGTTCTTCGATCCAACACAAAAGGTTCTTTGCCAGGGGAGTTTCACTTGGGATAGCCCCCAGTATTCTCGATACCCAGCATCATACCATAAAAGGGAAAAGGCTCCAATTTAGGAAGGGGGTGAAGAAGAACTTTGAAATAAATACTTCATTTTTAATCTAGTTTCATTTTTATCTTTGTTAAGGAGTAATTTTAAAATGTTACGGGAAAGGCCCAGTGATAAACCCTGAACACTTGTTAATTCTTAACTTTAAATATAGTGTTTATCGTATGGGTCTGAAATCCCTTAGCTGGAAATGTTCAAGTTTTAATCATCAAGTGTTTGTCTTTTAAGTTGCAGAGGTTGTGTAAGCTACATAGAAATTGTTTATCCCATAGTCGTATGATGTGGGAGTAGTGAGGAATGGAGGAAATGCCCTCGGAGCTGTGTGGAATGTAGATTGTAAGTTAACAAGGGAAAGTGAATCGAGTACTAATTTCATTTTTTAATTCTTAGGTTAATTCATTTTAAAGTTACTTATAAAGAGACTTGTTTCTAAAAGTGGATGCCTTCAAAGTCAGTGACTAGTTTCAAATCTTAGCAGTTTTACCATTTCACTATCAGGTATTAGGAATAAAAGATCTTAAACTAAAAAAAAAATCTTAAACTATAATTGGGAAGATTGCCAAATGTTATTTTAGCTGTCAGACAGGTACTGACTTGTTTTCCCAGAAGCCTTTAAAATGATAGATTTTTAATAAATAATAAATAAAATGATAGATTTAGCTGTAAAAAGGTAAATTTTCTATTGGTGAGTTCTTGACTACAAGTCAACTGAAGATTGTCTTGAGGACAAAGAACATGTGGCTGTCTTTAACTGGCAGGATGGTAGTATGTGTGTGGTCTGAGGTTAAGGAGCTTTCTAGCCTTGTCATCCGCACTGACGTCTTATCAAATGCACATTCATTTTGAATTTTCCTTTCCCTAACCAGGAGGTTGAGTCAAGTATTGCCCTGACACCTAGTAAGTGCGGATAAGCAGGAGTTCGGTTGCTCTTGCGCATCATGTGCTGTGCTGGTTGTTGGACTTGGTGGCTCAGTAATTGGGTTTGATAAACTGTATAATCCAGGGGCACTCAGGAGTCAGATAGGCCTGAGCTGTGCAGGCCATGGGGTCATTCAGCCCTACCAGGGCATAAAGTCTTCAAGTGCATACAGCCTTTGTTACAATCTATTTTAATTCCCCAAGACTATCTATCAGACTTGCTATGGATATTTTTTACATAACTATGACTCCCAAACTGGATTTTTACATTTTAGAGGAAAGAATTGTTCTTTGTTTTATCCATATTAATCCAAATTGAAATGAACTGATGTATTTGTAGCCACCACTCCTAGTGTAGTGTATGGCATATTTTTATTTTCCCTTCCAGGAAAAAGGATGCAAAAAAAAGATGGTAATTGAGGGGGTTGCTTTTCTTATGTAAATAAAGAAACAGTATGGTCACTGCACTTATTTAATGCCTTCAACTTTTTTCTGAAAAGCTGTGCATGGATCATATTATTTGGCTCAATATAAGACAAGATTAAAGGCTTTTGAATATTAATTTTTTATCTTGCTACTAAACGAATTAGCTTTACCCTAATCAGTAAGAACTGGTACATGAAGGGGAAAAGGTTATTTGCATTTTAAATTTTCTCCCTACAAATTTCTACCCTTAATTTTAGTAACACTTAACAATCTAAAATAATGTGGAGTGTTTCTCAGTATTCTAAATGGAAAGTAATCACTGCTTTCTCATTTTCATTTTCATGCTTGCATTTACTTTGCTTGGTTTCCACCTAGAGTAATTTTTTTGCATGGTTTTTGGCTGGAATTTTGGTTTGCAGGTTACCGCAACTTTTTCTTTGCTTCATTGCCATTTTTTCTGATTGCCTTTTTTTTCTTTCTGCTTCCTTTTTCTTTTCCTCGCATTGCCATCTACAGCCAGGCTATATAAGAGATTTGGTAAGTTCTCCATATTTAAAAAAAAGAAAGAAAGAATTAAAAATATTTATAGCCCTAGCTACAATCTCCCCTCATGAATTAATTTCCCTGTACTCTTTGAGCAAATAGGCATCCCAAAGTGAGTAAATTTTAAAACTAACCTTTCTGATTACTCCTTTAGAAAAATTTAAAAATCATTGCAGTTATTTCTAGTGCTAGAAACCTATATGGCAGGCACTCATTCTGATCAGGTATCTTGGTACTGAACTTAAAACCCATCTTGTATATGAGGATTAGAACTTGTGCTATTATATGTGTGTGTACTTGAATAAATCTCAACAATTATATATACCTACTCGTACTTATTGTTTCTTGACATATGGAACTAAAATTAAGAAAAACTATATATTGACTATATATATTGACTTTTCCAAACTAAAATGTTTGGAAAGTCATTATTTTACTAAAATTCCCAAATGTAGCTTCAGTTATTTTCTAATTTCATCTCTCGCAATACATAATTTTGGGGCATGGGGCACATAATTCAATGTTTTAATCTTTTTTTGTCTTGATTCTGCCATGAAAGAATAATATCTAATAGTAAATATGATGTTTACTCATGTTTAGATAACAGCAAGAATCTTGGAGGCCCATCAGAATGTAGCTCAAATGAGTTTAATTGAAGCCAAGATGAGGTTTATTCAAGCTTGGCAATCATTACCAGAATTCGGCATCACACACTTTATTGCAAGGTCAGTGGTTCTACTAAGCACTGATGTGTAAACCTCAGTCTCTGCCTTCTTATTTAGTTGACTTCATGTAATTAGAAGTTAAACATTTAAAACTACCTACTGAGACTCATTAACCTATTACACAGTAAAATTTAAAGAATGTTGGAATGTATTTTCTATGCTTATAATTTTTTCATCAGAAATTTAAAGTGCTTTCATTTCTCTTTTTACTCAGGCAAGAATAGCACTTTAAGAGTTAAAAAGTACATATCTTCAAGAAAAACAGACCGACATGTCCCCTACCACCCCTGTTTTAAAACATATATTTATGTTTTTAATTCTGTAGGTTCCAAGGGGGCAAAAAAGAAGAACTTATTGGAATCGCATACAACAGACTGATTAGGATGGACGCCAGCACAGGAGATGCAGTTAAAACCTGGCGCTTCAGCAACATGAAGCAGTGGAATGTAAACTGGGAAATAAAAATGGTGAGCTGTAGCTGTGCTGCTTGAACACACACACACAGTCCATACGCTAAAAACGAACTAGTTAAGAAGGAAAGGCCCTGTGAATGTTTCAGATTCTTTGTGCCATTTCCTCTTAAAGTATAAAACATGCTTGGTTGTTCATTTCCTACTTAAACTTGCCTATTTTATAAGTGCCCAGATACTTCTAAGAACATAATATGTTACAATATTGCCTAATCTTTAAGGTTGTCTTTCTCTGATGAATAAACCCTTTCCACTCACAAATAGCAGCTACTCTTTAGTGAATGCCTATTTTATGCCAAGCATGATACTAGATGTTTACATTTGTACCCTATTTCTAAACGTTACCCCAGCCCTGCAAGGTAAATGGATTATCCCCACTGTGCAAATGAAGGCCATTGTTGTCCGTGACCACACACTGAGACTTAGGGTTCAGACTGGGATACTTGGGGCTCTAAAGACTGGCACACCATGCTACCCCTAGCCTTGGAGTACATGACTCTCACTTAAACAGAATATTTCCCTAATAAGTCCTTTGTTTTAGGGTCATTGGATTTATTGTACTGATTTCAATTACTTCATAGAATCTTGTATTTCTGAAATATTCAAACATGAAACCTAAAGGTTAAATAGCTAAACACAGGAAATAGGTTTTCTCCTAGGACTTGAAGGGAGACACTCGTTAATTGAATCATCAGAGATCTTTTGGGAACTTAATGACCTTAAGCCCTTTGCATTCAGCCTTCCTTTTCAAACAAGAAAACTTAAAAAGGAGGAGGGGAGAGGCCAATAAACTGCTTATGCTTTTGGACTTGAAGGCATTATTAGTTTAGGATTAAGAAAAAAAAAGTGTGAGGACCTTTCGAGTGTTTTGTGCCCAGGGCAGACCTTAAGTGTAGTGGCCTCGCTTGGACCCAGCCATCTGGACTTCCGCAGGGACTGACGGTTCTCTGTCTCTGTTCCAGGTCACTGTAGAGTTTGCAGATGAAGTACGGTTGTCCTTCATTTGCACTGAAGTAGATTGCAAAGTGGTTCATGAATTCATTGGTGGCTACATATTTCTCTCAACACGTGCAAAAGACCAAAATGAGAGTTTAGATGAAGAGATGTTCTACAAACTTACCAGTGGTTGGGTGTGAACAGAAATGCTGTGTAATGAAACTCCATGGCCATAACAGTTATTTAACTTTAAAAGCTGTTGTTTGTTATATGCTGCTTAATAAAGTAAGCTTGAAATTCATTATTTTATCATGAAAACTTTTTTGCCTTACCAGACCAGTTAATAATGTGCACTAACAAGCACGACTATTAATCTGCTCTCATGATACAATGTATGGACTTGAATATGGCACATGTTCCTTAGAGCCAGGAATTGAAACTGAAGTAGTGGGTAAGTTAGGAACAAAACATCACTGATTCAAGTTAGCCAAACTGTAAGAAACTCAAGCCATCTACTTTAAAGCTATCCAGGGCTTAAACTATATGAAGTCTATTTATCATGTTAAATGCATGTGTTTTAATGTATGTTTAATTTGACCTCATAATTTTTCAAATATCCTACTTTCAAATATCCTACTTTGGCTACTTTGGGTAGCCATCTGTCATCCGTCCCCCTACCCCACCCCAAAATAAATCAGGCCTACAAAAGGTGCCTGGTATTTAATAATGTTATTGTTTGATCTTGAAGGAAAATGCTATTAGTCGTTATGCCTGGTTTGTTTTTGTCCTTGAATAAGCATGTATGTATATTGTCTTGTGTTTTTATTTTTACACCATATTGTATTACAACACTTTTAGTATTCACCAGCATATTCACTGTCTGCCTAAAATATGCAACTTTTGCATTACAATATGAAGTAAAGGTCTATGAAGTATGCATTTTGTGTAACTAATGTACAAACACAAATTTTATAAAATTGTACAGTTTTTTAAAAATCTACTCACAACTAGCAAATGGCTTAGATGTAGCATCTTTGCATTAATTAAATGCTCTTTAAAATATAATTATTGTGCAGTTTTAATATCTGCTAAATTAAGGATGACTTCATTATAGTCATGATTTGCCACAATGTCCTTAACTCTAATGCCTGGACTGGCCGTGTTCTAGTCTGTTGCGCTGTTACAACCTGCATTGGTGCTAGTCATAAAATTCCTAGCTCACATAGCCCAAAAGGGTGCCAGGGAGGGGTAGATTACCAGTATTGTTCAATAATCCATGGTTTAAAGACTGTATAAATGCATTTTATTTTAAATAAAAGCAAAATCTTTTATTTAATGTTTCTTTTGTACTTCTTGTTTTTACTGTTCATGTGACATTAACTGTAGACATAAACTTTCGCTTTTGGAAATGCTGCACTTGCAGCTTGTGAGAACAGCGTGCTTAGTATTCTGCAGTGTCACCAGACAGGTGTACTTAATCTCTAAGATGGAGTCTTCCACTTCAGTTGAAACCCCTCATTTTTCCTCCTACTTAAGGATGAACTGTAAAATATTTATGTTAGAAATGTAGCTATAAATAGAAATGACAGATGAACTGACACTGCTGACTTGAGCAGAACTGATTTTAAACAGAAAAATGACTCAGTTTAAGAAAACACATTTTTTTAAATGAATTTACTCTGTATTGTTACTGCTATCACATCATCACTCAGACTCAAAACTTCAGTTCTGGACTTTCTCCTTTACCCCTTGCAATGTAATAAGGCCAAGCCCTGGTGATACTTCGCTCGTGCAGCCCGGCGTCTTCCTTCTGTCACTGCTCTCACCGTCCCCTGAACTCAGATCTTTGGCCTGTGTCACATTCCCATGGCTTTTCTTTGTACTCTAAGGCCAGGTCTTAACAAGGCCTTGCTCAAAAATTTAAGAGCTCCTTCCCATTTAAAAAAAAATGTAATAATATGTTCCCATTCCTCATCTTAAGTACAGATCATCAACTTATGCAGTCACTTGCTAAAAGCCCCAAAATATATTTAGTCTATGGCACACACCCGTGTCCTTGCTGGTCCCACGGCCTCCCCACAAGGGAGAATAGCCTCTGTGCTGATTGTTTGGCCTCTGGTGGCCCTTCTGCCCTCCCAGGGATTCTGAGATCAGTTTAGCCCCAACACAGCACCGGGCTGTATTTCAGCTCCAGTAACTCCTGGTTGCTCACAGCATAAAAGCTAATGGTCCCCAGTCAAATGCTCAGAGGTCTTTTGTGGCCTGTTCCCCACCTCAAACTGGGCCACTCCAGACACACGGCACTCACCCATCTCCATTCATTCCCCAAACCTAGTCGCCACCTGTTTACATCTGAGCTTTCCAGCATTTAAGAAATTTTAGAAAGAGGTCGAATGTTCTTTCATCCACGAATACTTCCAAGTTTCCTTGTAGCCAAACATTTTCTCTTACTCCTCTGAACTGCCACTGAATTTTGTCCTTTTTGGAACTTAAGAGCAGTCATCCTTATTAGGATTGAGTATATCCTATTGCCCCTAATAAATTACTTAAATTATTACTTGAGGACTGGATCTGAGTGTCATGGTTTCTACCTAGGATCCATTAGCATATATTTGTTTATTGATTATAATGATGGTTATTTTAGGAATCAAGAGGTTGTTACAACTTGGAACTTTTCAGCATCAGCATAGTTCAATATGAAGGAAACACTTTTCAGATAGTGTCTGCACCAAGAGGCATGCTAAGTGCTTTCACATACATTTTCTCTTCTATAAGTGTTAGTTACTTGGTCGTGTCCAACTCATTGCAACCCCATGGACTGTAGCCTTCCAGGCTCATTTGTCCATGGAATTCTCCAAGCAAGAATACTGGAGTGGGTTGCGATGACCTCCACCAGGGGATCTTCCTGACCCAGGGATAGAACCTAGGTCTCTTGGGTTGCAAGCAGATTCTTCACCATCTGAGCTACCAGGAAAGCCCTGTCTTTTTTAAAGATTCATGCAACTCCACCTCCTCATTTTATAGATGAAGCTCAGTGAGGCCAAGTAACCTGTTTGAAGTCACATGGCTATAACTGACAAACGCCAAGGCAGAGCTAGAAGTGGAACCCTGATTTCCATCTCCCTATCCAGTGGTACTTAATCCTGGGGAGCCCTATTGATGGTGGCCTCTACAGAGATGACACCAGTCAACGAAAAGAACACTGGCAGAGTCTCCAGAAACAGCTTCTGGTTTCTGCTCAATAACTCATTTTCAGGTGGACACAAAGTCTCAGGGGACAAGAGACTAAGCTCTCTTGCAACTCGTTCTCTTACGACAGCAGTTTAAAGACCAGCTGGAAGCCCCTGATGCAGTTGGTCACTAATCTTCGCTTGGTACAAATTATTTTTTATGCAACCTCGAACTTCCATAGTCAAGGACTTAGAGACGTGGACTTATTTTTCCCCAGGCATTACTGAGGGATAATTGACAAAACTATAAGATATTTACAGTGTACACTGTGGTGATTTGATCTACATCTAGAAGGATGTAGATCACACACTCTGCACACCACCACCTGGCTAATTAACACACTCGCACCCTCAGAGACATGAGCTTTGTGGAAGGAAAGCCACTTGGCAGTTCTTGGCCAGCGTAGAGATAGTGCTCATTTCATTTTGTATTCCATAGTTCTGTTCTTTTTTATGTTAAAAGTCATACTGAGGTGCTTTTAATCATTTATCAGTTAGTGATGTAGTGGGATCAGACCAATCTGGGTTCCTGGCCTTTAATTTATCTGGGAGATAACTGCACAGAGTTAAAGAAAATGTTTCAAGTACACAACAGTTTACCTATATTAAATGTAGTAGTTTCCCAGTAAAATACTAGGTGTCTTTTTTTTAACTTAAAACTTCTTTGATACTCTGGAATGCATCCTTGTCTTATACTTTTCTTAATTGTTTCTGCCCCCTGTAATTGTTTGACAAGGGCTGCTGTTGTGTTTGACCATCAATCAAAACATAGTAACATACTCACTGCTCTGATAATTCAGAAAATCAGGACTTTCTGAGATCCATCCCTTTGTGACATAGTATCATCACTGATAGTTCTTGAATGCGCTCTCCTCCACCCATGACCTTGCACAGCTGCCGCCTATCATCTATGCTCTGCTTTATTCTAAAAATGCAGATGCTGGTTCCAAATAATCCCTCCACCCCCTCTCCCAAAATGTTTTTGTGGCTACTGTAGCTGTTCCCTCTTTTAGTGGCTATAAAGTTGCAAAGGAAAGGCAGGGATGAACTGACTCGCTATGTGGGGAATGTAGGCCTAATAGACATATACAATAATAAGTGGATTCAATTCTTACTCTGCTGATAAAGTTCCTGTCATCTCCACACAGAACTGCCCAGGAAGAAGTTGTTTACTGAAAGCTCTGTGTTCTTCAGCAAATTAACTGTGTCATTATCTTTGAACTACTTTGGCCTGGCAGGTCAAGAATGGGGGAGGGAGGTGGCAGAGAGAGTGACAGGAAATGGGAAGTTGTCTATCTGGGTAAGAGGAATGAATCTTTCCCAGTGGATGGCAGAGCCAACCAGAACAGGAAACGGGGTAGCAAAAAAGCCTCATCTGGTGACCTGATTTCCCATTGTGCTGATTCCTCTCTTGCTGTCTCTGCTTTATTTAATAAACAGTACTAAGTTTCCCAGGCTGAATGTATACATTAAAATTCTCTATTTATTCTCTTGATAAACAGTTATCAGTGTGCGCGCGCACACACACACACACACACACACACTCACCTAGTTGAGTTTCTCTTTTGATGTCTGTGCCTGAGCCTACATATTACTAAAAATTACAAGCACTTAAAATAATTTGAGACCATTATTTCATGAGATCTAATTATAATCTCATGTGGCTTCACTGGTCAAGCATTATCTCTTAACTATTCAGGGAAGTGGTCCAAGTTCAATGTTAATTAAATTTGTGATAAAAACACGACAACCAACCAGACAGGTTTAACATACCTGTATTAGTATGGTTTTCAGATATTGGACAATTTTTAAAAAAAAAAACACTTTTTTGAGCATAAATTCTCATCTCAAATCCAAATTTCATGAACTTAATTTTTATGATCAAGTAAAATTCAAGTAAACAAATTAACTGTCAGGTTTACTGATTGGAACATCTAAACCTTGTTTCTATTTTTCTTGCCTAATTGTAAATTCAATTAGCACTTAGAAGGAATATTTAGAAAACAGCATATTTTCTATTCCAGGAGCACAAAGGGCCAAGAATAGCCAAGACACTCTCTAGAGAACAGGTATGGCCTTTCAGACAGCAAGAAGTCCTATAACTGTAGTCCTATGTAACACTGGACAGAAAGTGTCACGTTGGCACAGAGATCCCAAATAGACCCCAGAAGCAAACATGCCCACATAGGGAAACAATTTCCAAGAGCCAGTCTTGCCGATCAGCGTGAAACAGAAGGACTTCCCACCAAGCATTGCTGGTGTTTATCTTTAGGGAAGGAATTTTGACCACTGACCTCATCTGTGAATGTTGTAGTCCAGGTCAATTCCAAATGCATTAAAAATTTAAATAGGGAATGGGAAAGCATAAAACTGTTAAAAGATATAAGAGGTCATTCAGTGAGGAAAGATTTTGCGTATTAATACACAAAAAGTACAAACCAGTTACATTAAGATGAAAACTAAGATATGAAGTGTAAAAAGGCACACTGGACCAGATATTTTCAACACATAGTTGACAGGATTACCATCTGGAATATAAATACACATGCTCACTGATGAAGCCAAAAGAAAAATGGACAGGTGATGGCCATCCATTCTCTGGTGGCTCAGTGGTAGAGAATCTACCTGCCAATGCAAGAGACACGGATTCCATCCCGGATCCAGGAAGATCCCACATGCCACGGAGCAGCTAAGCCCGTGCATCATATCTATTGAGCCTGTGCTGCTCTAGAGCGTGGGAGCTGCAACTACTGAAGCTCATGAGCCCTAAAGCCCATGCTCCCCAACAAGAGAAGCCATTGCAAGGAGAAGCCCAAGCTCACTGCAACTAGAGAAAAGCCCATGCAGCAACAAATACCCAACATAGCCAAAAATAAATAAATAAAATTATTTTTAATAACTGGACAGAACACTGGAATGGGTACTTCACAAAAGAGAAAAGCTGAACAGCCAGTCAATCTATGGGGAAAAAAAAAAAATCTGTTCAACTCTACTAGTATTCTACAAAATGGAGGAAAAAGCAAAGTTAAATTAGTTGTATTTAAATACAATTAAAATACAGCTTCACACGTACCACACTGGCAAAATTTTCAAAGTCTGACAATAT